TAAGAACAATTTGGAGCGTTGTAAGCCCTAGAACAGGATCTCTTGGGAAGTTCTGTTTTCTGCCAGTTTTACAGAAAATTGATGTGTTGATTTGCTGCTCTTAGCTTGTCATCAGGTGACATAAAATTTCTTGGTTTGATAGAAATTTCACTCTGAAATAGTAGAATTTCAGTCCAAATTTCTGACCAGGATGCTAGCTTGCTCTTTGGTTTTATAAGTGCATTTTGAAAGATTAATGGGTTATGTAGTCAGCTTCTGGTGACACGGATTTTTGGAAGTGAGGAAGGAGTGACTCCTCCAATAGATTCTGGAAGTCTAAATGTAATCAATACTTATGAAAAGTAGATTACTTGCATGTAAAAATCTCAGTGTATATTATAGACCTAGCTTCAATGAAGCTTGTGAAAACTGCAGCATCTATGAAGAACTTCATATTTGCTCAAGTATTTGAGTTATAATAATTCTTCCACAATAATGAGCACATAAATAAAAGCTAATCTGTGCATTGTGAACTTGAGTGGTAATACAGCAGGATTTGCCTCTGCTTAATTTCAGTCGCTCTTATTTTAAGCTGCTTTTGGATGTGGATTTTCTTTTTCATTTTAGTTGAATGCATCTTTTAATGTGTAATGTAGGACTGATTTCCTTTCCCACAGGTTCAGCCCAACAATTACAGTACATTCTATGACGATCAGAGACAAAACTGGTCCATCATGTTTGAGTCGGAAAAGGCAGCGATGGATTTCAGTAAACAGGTAGCTACTTACTCTGTGCAAGGTATGACTTGCTGCCTTGTTTAGAAGAAGAGGCAAATCAAGATGTATCTCTGAGAGCACCTTGTTGCCAAAAGGTTCTAAGTCAGTCATACTTTTTCATTGAAGTTCAGCTTTGAGTATCTGCATGACTGTGATCGAGGCAGATCTGTGATGAGTCTGGCTGGATTTTGTTCGTTAGATCCAGGCCTCTTTGAGGCAGGGAGCCTGTTACTTCTGATGGCATTTTTGATCAAGATTCTCAAGGACTGTAAGACTAATGGTTCTGTAGAGCAGAGGGTATTTACTCAGCAAAATTCAGCACAAGGAAACATGGAATGCGTCATAACTGCATCTCTAACTTGGGCTTGATCAGAACAGTAAGAAAGGCATCAGATCTGTAATGAGTCATAGTGGAACTTGCCACTCTGATAGACTTTCCTTCTGCAGGTATGCATTGCCAAATGCAACAGCTCCCCAGTGCTTGATTCAGTCCTCTACCAGGATCTCCTTCTTGGAGAAGGGCAGGGAGTAGAAGGAGGAGACTCTCTGGAGATTGCCTATACGGGTTGGCTGTTCCAGAACAATGGACTTGGACAGGTAAAGACGTTTATGCTGCCTCCTAATACTGAATGAGTGTGACCGCCCCCGGAAGGAACCGGCCACATCTAGTGTAGTATTGGTGCTGATGTTAAAGGTATTTTTTCAGTCGGTTATGGCACCATAAGTGAGGTCATATGTGCTACCTATAGAACAACAAGGGATTCCATTACTGTTCAGGAGGCAGTGATTAAAATGCTTTTTAACTTTCATAGGCACTCTCACACATTAATATTAATGAAAATGGTGAGAATAGACGATGAAGCTAGTTATGCTTCTTTGGAGACAGCTTGAGGAAGTGATAAGAAGGGCCTTGTCTGACACAAAGTGCATCTCCAGATATTAAAAGAATGAGATTGCTTTTACATCCTCTACAGCTGTGTCCAATCCAGTTTGCTAATAAGCAAAAGAAATCCTGTAATGTTCAAAACATTACCTTTAAAACATTTCTGCTGGTTTTACTGTTAGCAAAATTCATGGCAAAGGGTTTTGCATTTGTATCCATCTGCTGTTGAATCTTTTTGCTATAAAAAAGGGCTTTCTGTTTTCATCTTTAGGAAATTTTTTGTTTTTCTTGGTCTGCCTGGCATGTTTCTCTCTACGTACCAATGTTACATAGCAGAGCTTATTTCTAATCTCTCTAAGAGTTGTTCAGCTGCATATGTCTTAGTTTAATGTATAAAACTTCTAGACAGTTGTTTGCTGCTTGAGACAAGCCTGTGTGTAGTGTTTTACTTGGCCCAATCCTATCCTGACCATTGAGCTCAAAGCAGTTTTAAAGTCTGAGTCTCCAGCTATCATTCACTTTAAGAAATTGTACTGTGCAATGGACTAGAAGCTGTAGCCATGCTCTATCTTACATCTGAGGATTAGTTTTAGAAGTAGCAGAATGGGAAATAGCACATAAGAGATTGAAGAAGTTTATAGAACATGTAAAGTAGCATTCAGAATCTTGAAACAGTTGGGAAATCCATGTATTTTGTGCTTTTGTTCAACTCTAGGTGTTTGACTCAAATGTTAACAAAGACAAGCTGTTGCGGCTAAAGCTGGGATCTGGAAAGGTCATCAAGGTAGAACTTCTGGCACTTTTGTTAACAATAATTGAAGTCTCAGAGCTTTGAATTGTTGAAGATCTTCAGGATTCATATCTGCTGTTTCATGTTTCATTTGATAGGAAACACTCTGTAACAGTGACTCACTCAAACTTTTTCTTCTTGATTTGCACAATATAGCCCAGTCTCCTTTTCAATGACAGTGAAGTTGTTCTGTTGGGTAAAAAGAGCTGTTCTCAAGAGCTGGGTTTCTCAGGGTGTTTTTTATTTTTGTCTTTGTTTTTCTGGAAGTCACTTAATCCATTACCTTGTTCTCAGGGAACACTATTTCTAAAAGAGGGTTTCAGTTTAGGAAAAACTTCAGATTCCTCCCTGCTCATTGTGCCTCAAGCAGAGCATTAGATAGGTCTGATACAACACCTGGGAGAAGGGCATGGGAGGGTGAAGGCAACTGACAAGTTTTAGTATGATCTAGTAAAAGATAGTACTACAGCCCAGAGTGGTTTTACCCTCTAAGTCAAATTGTGAGGGTTTTGACTGTGTAATAATTTTTCACTCCAGGTGGTGTGATACTCCCTTATGTTATTCCATAAAATCAGGTTGTGAATCTGAGATGCTTTTGTTCAAGTCACTTCCATTACCTGAGTAATTCATATATGACCTGTTACAAGTTGTCCTTTACTGAAGATGCACTACTTTTCTACTTTATTTGTTTTAATGTGTATCTTCTTATTAATGTTGCCTGGGTGTAGTAGTCATCCTGTTAAATGCTGGCATCCGTTTGACAGTTTGCATTGCTCTGACTTCTAAGTCTCCTTCACTACAACTGTCTTCTCTGGGTGCTTTGTAAATCTAGCCATAGCAATTCAGAAGTGATCTCTCAATGACGTGGAGTCCTGTTCTTTCCCAGAATGCTGAGAGAGGTCACTACTGTCTGCCCTGCAAGCCACCTGCAGCTGCAGGATTTGTGCACACAGTACAGCATGCAGTTCTTCAGGATATCAGTGTGATCTGTGGTAGCTGCTTAAGTTACGATATTTAAAACTTGAACCAGGTTTCTGGAACCATACGGAGACCTGGAAGCCTCCAGCCTTCATGCTAAAGGTTGCTGTATCTGTTTGATTTCAGTATGAACACATGGGAGCTGCATCTTTATTCTTGAATTAATCTTGCAATTTATAACTGGCCATTACGATTCTTTGTAAGACAAAGGTTTAGTGCTACAGACTGAAAAGAAATAGGGTTTTACAAGAATCTCTCTTTGTGTTTTGGAATCTTCCGTAACAGGTGCCTGAAGCTGTCTTAATCACTGTAATGAAAAGAAACTGTAATGTTACTGATCAAACTGTTTGCTTTCCCTTCTGTTGTGTCTCTGAAAAACCAAAGGGCTGGGAAGAAGGAATGATGGGGATGAAGAAAGGAGGGCGAAGGTATCTCATCATTCCTCCAGCATGGGCCTATGGGGCTCAGGGAGTGGCTGGCCGTGTCCCTCCAGACTCAACTTTAGTTTTTGAGGTGGAAGTTAGACGGGTGAGTGTCTCCTGCAAAGTGTTTATTTTACATCTGTTTTGTGGCTGTTGGGTGGCAGTGTTTGTCTACAAGGTGAAAACCTGCTGTTGGCATGAGAACTACAGCTCATAAACTGTTTAAACTAAATACTTCAGGAAGATGCATGTCTTTTAATTAAAAAAATCCAAAACAACCCTACAAAAACCCCTAAATGCAAAAAATCCCTCTAGACTGTACTAAGACATGGCTGTACTAACTGTCTTGAGATCTTTTCATTGTCCTATTTGTGAGTCACTTGGGAAAACAAAATACTCAGTGAGGAATGACAGGGTGTAAAGGCTCTACTTCTCCAGTTCTTGAGTCGGTTGTGTGCTTTTACTTGAAGTACATGAACTTGACAAAAGAGTAGTCATCAGAAATAAACAAGTTGCTGAAGGCTTTTTTTGAGAACCCAGAGAAAGCATCTTTTTTGTTACATGCTTTTTAAGGTGAAGTTGGTAAAGGAATGCTCTGGCTCAGATGGACAGAGTGTTAGTTCAAGGGATTCTCCTGCACCTTCTCCGGTTCCCAATTCAGATGGCTTCTCTGCAGACACTGGTTTATTGCCTCCATCTACAATACCTCCAAAGCCTGGGTAAGAAGCAGCACGGTTAAAACAACTTGCTGTATTAAAAGAAGGCAATGCCCATAAACATCCGACACAATGCTGCATTAACACATTGTTTGGCAAATGTGGGTCCTCTGTGTGCCAGCTTAGTGCTGTCAGTGTCGCAGGGGAATGCTTGCTAACACGACTTGCAGGAAATTTTCTGCTTGAATTTAAGGAAATCGAAATGGGCAGAAATGAATGAAGTCATTCCTCTACAGCATTGCTGAGATCTAGCATGATTAGGTTGTATGGGTACTGCTACAACAACTTTCTCATCTCAGGTGGAAATATAGCCATAAGTTGGTCTTGGGTAATGGCTGATTTGTCTAATTGCAAATTTTACAGTTTCATTTGTTTCTTAACTAAGTGGATCCGTCATCTATTTTGGGAAGTTCAAATTTAAGTGCTCTTCTTGTTGCCATAAGTAGTTTGTTATTGGACTTGGTTAAAATTGTTTGTACCAGAATGTGGTCATTGCAGCAATCAACAAAATCATCTTGCTGTAATCAGCTGTTCTATAGCCATGGACTTGTCCATAACAATGTTCTGAAATCTACAGATAATGTTGCAAAGAATCTTCTAAAAATAAGCTAAAAGAAATGCTTGATATAAGAAAATGGTTTCCCTTAGGGGGAGGTGTGTTTGACTATTCAGAAATGCAGAATATTGGATCCTGAATTTCATCTTGGTTAATGATCAACACATACCTGTTTGGCTTTTTAGGGAGCCAGCTGTTCGGGCCAAGTCAAACTCCATCAGCGAACAGCTCGCAGTAAGTGGTGTTTTTTCCTAAGTAATTTGAAGCCTTAAGTAGGGAAGCTTGGTTGGTTTCACCGTTGCGTTCAGTATTGATGAAGATAAAGTGAACATCATACAAGCACGGCACTCTCAAATGTTCACCGTACTGACAGATTAGGGCCTTGTTTTGAAGGGGTTAGCAGAACATGAGTAATCTCAGTCCTAGTTTCTACTCTTAAAAGCAAAGTTACTTTGACCATGTGGATATTCACAAGGCTAATTGTCTTAGATAAATGGATGAATTTAGAATGGATAACAAAGAGTAATTGGGACATTTAGTATAAGTTTATGTAGCCACCTGAGAAGATGACTTTTGTGCTTGTCTCAGGATAGAAGAAGCTGCTAAGCAGCTTCCTTAATTCACACATTTTCTTCTCGTTGCTGTGTTTTGTGCAAGGATAGATCTTTCTATGTAATGACAGCAGTGTCATCCCAGAAGGAGAGTATATAAAGCAAGCCAGATTAACAAATCCACAGTGTTATCTTGTGTGCTTGAAAATTATTTTTTCACACAGTCAATGAAAAATTGAAAGAACCAGAATTGTTAAGTCGGTGATTCAGACGAGTCTAATTCTGACAGATGTCTCTGTAATGTCTGAAAAGCCTGGGCTGAGAGAGAAAGGAAGAGTAACTGCAAATGTTTCTTTTAGAATCCAGATGTAGCAAAGGCAAAGCTAATTTCTCGGATGGCTAAAATGGGACAGCCCATGCTACCTTTCCTTGCCGGGACAGCAGGTGGTCAACTTGACTCCAGTGACTCAGAAATAGAGGTACATCACCAATTGCTTAAGTGTGACTTTTTTGATGCTTTTTCTACACTGTGAGTTCCTTAAGGTGGAAGCCATAGCAATAGCTCTCCCTTTGTACAGGGAACACGTACTCTTTCTCTAGCAAAAGGGTTTAACGATTCCACTAGATAGTTCAATTGGGTTAATGGGATAACACCTGGTCTTGAGTGATCTTGGGTTCAAACTGTTTGCTTGTTCTTTAGCATTCGTTGTAATATGCAGAAATGTTTTTAGGATCCAAATACACTAAGAGGGACAGCACAACCAGTGGCTTCATCTTCTGTGAGACCATCACAGCCAGCTCATGCAGTACTGCCCACAGTGTCAACACAAGGTAATATGCTGGTGAGCCTGGAACTGGTATAGAGAAATTTCACTTATTTGCAGGCCTCAAATACAAGGGCTGTATGAATAGAGGATTGCTTTCAGGAACTGAAATAGGAACTGATAGCTTCTAAAAAGACTTGCTGATCCAAAGCTCCATAGGTAGACTAATCCATAAAGCACAAGACTGAAGTCCTTGGAGTATGTCTTCATTGTGATCTTGTGCACACATTACTGCTTGAGGAAGAGCAGCCACAGTGCATGAGCTGCTCTGTCATCATGTGTGCTGGGGCGGCACCGAGATTTCTAGGACATGTAGTTTGTAAATGGAACTGTTGCAAATCTTTTCCCAGTGAACAGAAATTTTTTTGTTTGAAAATGATAGAAATAAGAGTGAAGGGTGTCAGACAGTTGGCAGCTCTGGAGTGGGCTTGACTTGTCTTCCCGTGATGGAATAGTAAGGTCAGCTGCTGGTCAACTGAGCGGACTTTAGAGTCAGTCTGAGTAACATCATCTGTTGGTAAACTTCAGAGCTACCTTTATTTGAATGAAAAGAGGTTGTCTAAATGTAGCTAGAGTGGAATTTCTGTGAAAGATTACTCTCTTCTTGACCTTTTATCACTTGCTTGACTGGATTTAATTTTCACAAGGCTGCAGACAGGCTTGTGTTAAATTTTTGTCTATATAGTGATTATTTTGTTTTTTTTCCATTTCATACTGGGCGAGTTAAATTATTTTAACTACTTTGTGGCATGCTGAATTTCTTTCTTCCTTTTTAGTACCTCAGGCATCTGGTTCTACACCCCCGGTATCTTCTGCTGCTTTAATACCTGCAATGATCCAGCCCCATTCAGCTCTGTCTGGAGGAGCACAGGGCTTTCAGGTACCAAGATGAAACCAAGGAGAATATTGGCACTTTTGTCCTTTCTTATAAGTCTTACTGTCTTCTCCATTGCTGAGAGCAAGGACTTTATAGCAGCATGTAAGGATGAGAATCCCGGGCTGTTTTCTGTGACTCTTCTTTGTCATTCTCGGCTTTCCATCTCATGCCTCTTAGAATTTAATCCAAAAAGGCTGGTTTTCTGTTTGCAGATGGTTTCTTAAAGTTGAACTAAGAACTAACCAGACTTTGTTTAATATCTACTTTGGTACTGGAGAGAATAAAAACTTCCAAGTACTTGTAGAGCAAGTGAAAACAAAAGCATTTTAGTTGAAATTTTTCTTGGTTATGGTGGTTTTTCTGTGAGAGCACACTTAATGTGTTTTTCATCCCTCCTTTTAAAAGGCTTGTGCTGCTGCTGCTGAAAAGTGATGCAATCTGCTTGCTAACAAGGAAACTTTGGGGGCTTAACGCACAATGTATTTTCCACATCAGATAGCGAAGACTTAGTACAAAACTCTCATACAAACAGTTCTGTGAAGTCTAAACCCAAGCTTTTTACCGTCTGCTTTCTGTAGTTATTTTCACATAGCCTATTTTCTGGAGCTTTTGGAAATTGGTGGCCTGTGTTGCATAGAAGCACTGTTTATTTTTAAAGGGTCCAGGCAGAGGAAGAAAACATTTGATAATGAATAAAAACACTATGTTAAAAAAAAAAACAAAATGAAAAACACCACACCAACCCAAAACTGGTGTGGTGTTGCATTGCTTTGGCTTTGCATTTTCCTTGTGTTGAAAATGAAGAAAGTGTGGCAAGTAACAAGATAAAAAAGACAGACTTTTCTCTTTGTTGAAACAGAAACTTGTCATTAAAGTGACGTTTTAATCTGACAGTGATTTGGATGTATTGTTTTGAAATTTGACCCTGATGTCCTAAATTCTTTTAGAAACTTGGCCCAAGTTGTATTGTAATTTTTCTTTTTTCCTTGCCTGAGAGAGTAAATTGATAGTGAGTTACTCATAGCATTTAATGCGTTCTTCAGTCTGTTTAGCTCCTCCTGATGAGCACTGAGCAGTAAAGTTGCAATCAAGTTGTGTTGCACTTTTTAAGCCCTTCTTTCTATTCCAGTTAGCATAACTTCAGCATGAGCTGTTCACATGTTGATCTTTGCCTCTCACAAACACAGAGTAACATGCTTTTGCTTAAACTTCAGTGAAGAAGGTAACTTACTAAGCTGTGGTAACTTGAACACATACCAAAGCCTTGAAAGAAGAGTGACTGTTATTTTCCCTGTACTGTGACTGTTGTGTAGTTTGACTTCCAGCTCCTTAATTCTGTTTTTTTCTTTCCAAATATCATCCTTGCTCTGGGGCATAAAAAAAGTGAAAACTGCTTAAGTGTGAGGAGGGTGGGGAAATATCAAAACGTATTCTAATTTACCGAACTTGTTCTGCAAGGCATATCCAGGAATGGCATTTGCTTACCCCCAAACTGCTGCATCTGCTTCTCAACTCCAACCTGTAGGGCAGATGTATCCTGCACCTTACCAAGGTATGTTTAAAAAAAGTACATGCTTTTCAGAAGGCTGCAATACCTCCAGTAAACTGTTTATAATTATCATTTAGGTAGCAATGGTAGCATACACAAACATACTCATCCTGTCTGTAATGCTGTGCCATTTCACAAATTCTTCTTTTTTAATAGCAAATAGGGACAAACATTTCCCAATAAATACCCATCTTTTTCTTACCTTAAGGAACTTCATGCAGTGGAAAGGGGATGGAATTTCTAGGTTCCCAAGGGGAACTTCCATCTTATTGACCTAAGTGCTGTCACGTGGCTCAAGAATTTCCTGTAGTCACAAACCTGCCTATTGATGTTATTTGGAAAATACCTACGTTATTAGTTTTCCAGATACCACGTCCCTTTTATTTCTGGGAAGAAAGTGCCTGTTGTACCTGGCGGGCTTCAAACTGCTAAGCATTGCTTGTGATATGTCTGTATGCAGGCATTTTCCCCTTGTGACTATAGATCTCTCTCCTTTCCATTCAAGCTCCTGGGGATGTTACTTCCTTTTTGATGACAGAAGCTCGACAGCATAACACTGAAATCCGAATGGCCGTTAGCAAAGTAGTAGATAAAATGGATCATCTGGCTGCCAAGGTAATGTATGGCATAGGCAGGCTTGTGAGCGTTGTTACTGCTATTTGCTCTCCAAATGTAGTCTGAGGAGTTAGCTCTATTTAAATGCCTGGATTAAGTTTGTAAATGATGTTCTAACTTAGTAGAAAATTCCAGTATTATCAGACCTTGAAGTCATAGCAATTCAGCTACTACGAAAAAAGCGAAGCCTAGGCTTGGGCGAAGGTGCTGTCGCATACTGTCTAAATATCATATGATGCGTTGTGTTTGGAGAGATAAATTCATTTCATCTGGCTTAAGAATGGCTTATCCCTGTAGGTGGAGGAGTTGAAGAAACAAAACACTGGTAACAGCTCACTGCTGCCTGGTATTTCCTCTGTTACTATGGAAGCCTCCATGATCATGAGCAATATCCAACGCATAATCCAGGTGAGCACAGCCAGCCTTATTTGACTACTTTCATAAGGAACTGGAGCCCACTGTGTTATTCCTAATAAGGATAGCTGTACTGGCTTGGACCAAATGTCCACCCACCCATGTGTTCTATTTTTGCGTGTCCAAAACTGGCTACCTAGGTAAGAGCATGAGATATACAATGATTTCCACCCTCCCCCCAAAAAAAAGCTCTTCTCAACAGTTTGTGGTTTGGGTACTTTCTGAGCCAGAGCTGATATATTGGCCTATAACAGACCTTGGCAAAAGGTTCATGTGAGAAATTCAGCCTCTTCTTAAATTGTTATGGACTTAACCCACAGCATCCTGCAGAATGGATTTCCAGAGCTGAAGTACCATGTTGGAAGAACGACCTACTTCTGGTTTTTGCTACTTAGTCTTGTGCTTTGTAGTTTTTCTAGGCAGCAGCCTTACAGTCTTGGGATTTGTGGCTGAAAAAGTCAACCAGACACAATATTCTCTAGAACGTGGTTTGGCAACCACTGTCCCGTGCCAGGATTCCTGCTAAATGTAGCACGGCACCTTCCTGTGATGTTACCATGGAAGGTGATAAGTCTCACCACTGTACTGCATCTGTACAAAACAGAGCTTTAGGTACTGCTGTGAGGAAGTCGAAGTAAGTTGAATGTTCATGCTGGGCTATGCTTTAGGAGAATGAGAGACTGAAGCAAGAGATATTTGAGAAGAGCAGTCGGATTGAGGAGCAGAATGAGAAGATCAGCGAATTGATTGAGCGGAATCAGAGGTAAGGAGTGGGAGGGTACAGACTCTCTGTGTTTGCAAAGACTTTCTAGCATACACTTGGTTAGGCATAACTAGGAGGGGTGTTCTTGAGGATAGAGACATGTTCTGGTATTTTTAACTTTAGGAGTTTTTTTAAGGCATTAAAAGTGTGGGGTTTTCCCCTCCTCCCCTCTCTGCAGGGCATATCTCCAAATCTGTGGTTTACAATAAACGTGAATGTGTAAAAGGGGGAAAAAAAGCCCTCATGCTGTCTTCTTTGAGCACACTTGCTCTGCTTCTGGGAGTTACTTTTGTTAGCTTTTTAGTAAGGTGAAGGAAATTGCAGGGGATGTGGTGTCCTTAGTTCCACTGTTGGGTGTGTGTTCCATTCAGTTTAAGAAGGGGAATAATAATAAGGTCAGTGGATATCAGGTTATCAAAACTTGACTGTGTGATAGGAACATTAGACTTGTTGCAGAGAGGTAAAGTGCTTATCCAAACTGATAGAATCTCTGCTGTGCCAGGCACACCCGTTCCACCCTTCTGAGATCAGGCTGCTCTTAGTGCACAACGTCATGCAAAATTGCCTGGGACTTGTCGTGAAGAAAACTGTTTTGAAATATCGCCTTTTCTGTCTGAGCCTTTTGCTCCAAGTCATGTCTTTACATAAATGCTCACGCGGTCTTCCCCTGTTCACAGATATGTTGAACAAAGTAACTTGCTAATGGAGCAGAGGAATCATTCACTGCAGACAACAAATGAAAACACACAGGCAAGAGTGTTGCATGCAGAACAGGAGAAGGTAATGGTGACAATGAGCAGAGCCATAAACCTCTGGCTGCAGCCAGGAAAGGGGTGGCTTCTTGTACTAAAATATGCTGAAGCCTTTTTAGTCAAGGCTTAAGTCAGTTCTCTTACAGGACAACTGTAGTTCTGAACTTATGTTTTGAAAGCTGTTTTGAGAAAAAAATTGAAGGTTTTCGTGGCTTTCATGACAAAAATAGCACAGAGGATATAAAGTAGATATTTATGCTGTCATAGCCTTAATATTCTTATTTTACAGGAAAGTGTCTGCTCTATAGGTATATGGCCAACATGTTGAGGAACTGTGTCTCACAGGGGTTTGTCGGGTTGAAAATGTGCTTTGTTTATTTAGTTGCACTGACAGTTTCAGAAAAGTTTTATTCCAAAAAAAACTGACATAGGGTGAATGTAACTAAGAAAAATTATTTCCTACTAGAGTTTCTTCGTTGCAGTTTTGCACTTTTTTTTTTAATACTAATGAAAAGTTGTTTGTTTCTACTAATAATGTATTGTGCTTTTGTGAAAGGGGCTATTGGGAAATAGCTTTCAAACCAGTCAAATGCACTTATGCATGGCTGCATATCCTGTAATATCCACTTAGGACAGCCTAGCCCAGGTAGGCTAGCTTTGAGGTCTGTAATTGCATGGTGTTTTCTGTGTTTTCTCAAGCACTGGCTTCTTAAATTACACCAAGTTCAGTCTTGCACCATGCTCCCCTGCTGAGTTGTGTGTCTCTCCAATTCAAATGTGAGATGATAAATGCTTGCTCTGCATGAGAACCGTAACTCAGTGCACCTAAAAATGACAAAACTGCAGCTTTCCAAAGTATGCTAAAGAATAGAGTGATATGTGGCTGATAATTGTATGCTGGTGTGAGCAGACAGTAAAGGAGGACTGTATTTTTCCACTGAGAGCCCAGGTTGCATACCTGTAATATGTAGGGAGTGTAATGGATTCTAACCAGGAATAAGTCAGATTGAAATAATAAATACAATTCCTTTCTGTCAGTGAACACAACGTCCAGCTTGCACGATAAGTAACTTGGGGAGGAAGCATCTTTTGGAAGTATAAGATATGATCTTCAGGAATCTTTTGGGCTTCATCTTCAATAGGATTCCACTTGATTCAGCAGTCACTGCCTAGGTGATGACACTATTACATGAATAGATTTCAGGCTAGACCAGAGAAGCCATGACTGGCACTGGGAGATTTCCCCTAGTTTTGTAAGAGTATTGACTGTAAATAGGAAGGCTGATATTCCTTCCTCTTCCTTTTATCTAACCTAGCTTGGTCTGTGACTGCAATTGCTGAGATCACTATGGATGGACAGAATCAGGGAAGAGAATTTTAAGCTGGTTTACCTATTCTTTACTTAAAAATAGGGACTGGCCATTTATTTTGTGATACATCTGTATCCATCTGTTTGTGATACGTACAGATCCGTAGGCATCTGTACCCAGGATCACTGAGAAGAGGTATTAGTAGCTTGCTGCTTTTGGGTTATAGATCTTTGACCCTGGCACAGCTTTAGATGAAGGCTTCGTGTGCCATAACGATAAGTAATCCCCCACGCTGTCCAGTGCAGTGAAATGGTAGTTACATGTAGGACTGCTCCTACATCTGCAGTGTGTAATGTACCTGTAAGGATACCTTTAGCTTCTTTCTTTTTAAGCCAGACTTCACTACCTTTTTCTGTCTAAGCTTTTGCAGTTCTTGGAATAAATTAAAGGCTCCTCTGGCATGTCTTAGGCTCCTGTAATGAAGCATTTTGCTTTTCTGATGATGATTAATGCCTCTGCCTTTCAAGTTGTGTTCTTAACTCTTCCTGTTTCTTGTCACTGCTTTCTCTTCCTAGCACATGCTGCCAGTGGATCGGGGCTGGGACCAGGTGAGGCAGTGTGTCTGCTGACTGTGTAGGTAATAGATAATTGTGCCCTAGGTAGTGCCAGCCCAGCTTCCTCTTGAACTAGCTAGAAGCTGATTGGCATTAAAAGAATTGCCTCAGATCTTGAATTAGCACAGATCTTCCACTTGGAAAAGGGTTTTATAATCGGCAGTGTAGCCACTGGCCCCCTCTTTCTTGGGGAGCCCTTTCAAAGAACTTTGTCACGTTGCTGCTTGTTTCGCCTCCCCCATGGGAGAAATAGGACATGATCATGTAATTGTCAGAGCAGATACAGATCACATAAGATTCTTGGTACCTGAAAGCTGGAGGCTGGAGCTGAGCTAGTATAGACATGAAGCATTCAGCACAGAAACTTAAGTCTAGTAACAGTTCCTGGGATAGGATTCCTTTTTTATTTTTCTTTATTTGCCATTAAAGACAAAGGCAAGCGTTAAAATAACCTTTAGATATGCCATGGGGTTTTGTTTTGTTTTTAGCATGCTTGAACTGCAGTGAGATGTTTATGGAAGCGTGAGAGGAAAGCAGATCTGGTTTTGGCGAGTCTCTGTTGAAATGCTGCCTCCTCTTTAAAATTAATGGTGTAGTATCCCAACCCTCAAGGTCAGCACATGTCCATGCTCACCATAGTTGGAACAATTTTGCTCACAGCTCTTCTCTGCCAGAAGGTGGTGGTCTTAGTCTGAAGAGAAACGCTTTAGTTCTCTTATGGGGATAAAGCAGAGAGAAACTCCGGTTCTTCTGAACTTATCAGTTACAAGAACATGAAAGCCTGTTGGGAATCTGAATGTAGGCGTAGATATAGAAGCTATTTAGGTATTCCCTGCAGCAAGTGAGGTTTTTTGATGGGTGTAGTTCTGTCTTTGCAGACAATCCTCTGCATTTTGTGTGTCCTGCAACATGATTGGGAACGTGACTTTCTGTCTTTGTCTTGATGCCATGAGCATCTCCTAACACATTGTTTACAAGTTGTCTAACAAGCTGTATTAGTACCTATTTTCACATGAGTCACTGACTTTGAGCAATACTAAATCTAAACAGGTCAACAAGTTACTGTGAGAACTATTCTCCAAAATGATAGCCTTGCCCATGCGGGCACCTCAAGGTGACTATGTGCTGTGTGCTCTGGAGGGAAGGTGCTCTTTTGGCTGGAACGAGCCTATGTTTTGTGTGACTTTTCAGTGATTGAAAGATATTTGTAAGCTTATTGATGTTAATTAGATGTTGGAGCTCAGGCTTTTACTTGAATAGATGTTGTTATAGCCTTGAAAACTCTGAGCAGAGCCACCAGGCACTGGTACTAGTCTTAAAAACAGGTTTAAGCTTTTCAGGAAAACTCACCGAATTGAGCTAATGTGGTGATGAGGTTGTTGGTGGCCTTGTGCAACTTTCTAGTCAGTCTGGACAGGTTACAGATGAACGACTCACAGTAACGTGGCAAAAATGTTATCATTACCTCTTCAGTTTGGAGATGTCTCTGAGTGCTGGATCCCAGCACTTCCCCAGTGAGGTCTTCAGTACCTTAACAGTTCTTCCTGTGAAAACAGTTCTGGTGTGTCCTTGCAGTCACATATCTATCTTTTTTTTTTTTTTTTTCTTCCCTCCCTTTTCCCTGCTCCATTTTGTGATACAGGCCAAAGTTGCAGAGGAGTTAGCAGCTGCCACAGCACAGGTTTCCCAACTGCAACTGGAGCTGACTGCCCACCAGAAGAAGGAAATGGACCTGCGGAAACAGCTGTCTGCTGCCTTGCAGGAGGCAGAGCGACATGAGACACAACTCAACAAACTGCAAGCACAGTTAGCAGGTAAGTCTTCTTGTGCCTGTTCCATGAGAGCTCCTTTATGTCATTCTTTTTGCTTAGTCATAAGTTTTTCCTTTCTTCTGGGGTATCTATTCCTGCTTTCCCTGGGATCCATCACAAGGGTATCGAAGAAGGATATTGATGCACTGAAACATCTGAAGGGTGTGTGCATCCTTTTTACCACTAAAAGGAAAGTGGGCCGAATCAACGAACAAAATCGTCCTGTCACAGGGATGTCTTTTGTGGAGGCAATCTCTTGGCATTACTGTCTTAACATCTTGTAGAGAAACAAGAAATGTTCCTGTGATTGAGAAGTTAAGAGAAAAGCTGAGGTATAAGTATTATCATTTCACAGAAGCAGCTCTTGATAAATTCTAGTTCCCACTGCAGGTGCAAGCCATGTTGTTGATTTCATCATGCAAGAGAGACTGTTCCTTCCCATCAGTCCCCAAATGCATTAACCTGAAATACGTGTAGTGCTGAAACCCACAGCAAAGTGTGTTTTTTGCAGAGCTCCAAGAAACCTCTGAGGATACTCAGACTAGATTCAGAGCTGAGAAGCAGAGCCGCAAACAGCTGGACATGAAGATTACAGCACTGGAAGAAGAGCTAACAGACCTAAAAGTGGAAAAGGAGACTCTTGAAAAGGTATGTCCAGTGCCGGTGTTAGAGGTGCAGGGTTTCAGTTGTTTGCTGAAATTTAACCCAACATTCTTGCTTGTACGTATGCAAGTTAGGTAAATCTTGACTCATCCACAGGCAAGGATCCTTGTGCTGGCAGATCCTTTCTGCTTATGTGACTTCCCCCCCCCCCCCAATATCTTAACCAGTAATATGTTAACCTTCCTACCTCCAAAATGATCTCAGCTTGATTTTAAAGCGCTAAGATTCCCTGCTCAAAGAAACCCTTTCTGCACAAGGAAGAGAAGCTACCTGGGGCAGTCTGGCCTATGCTATGTCCTGTTCTGTATTGCAGAATCTTGCGGAGAGGAAGAAGAAATCCCTTTCGGAGAGAGCTCAAGCAGAGGAAGAGATGGAAGAAATACGCAGATCGTATCATCAGGAACTGGACAAGCTTCGACAGTTGCTGAAAAAGGCACGGACTTCGACTGACCAGGCAGCAGCAGAGCAGGTGAGGAGTCATGGGAGCTTCTCCAACAAGTGTCTGGAAGGCTTGTAGGAACCTACAGGTAGGAAATAGTCATGAAAATGCTCAGGTAGTGGGAGAATAAAAACATCATCTGCTTGATTTTAGGGGTTAACTTTAACACAGGGTTCACTTTGTTGTCTTTCTAAAATATCTGCTGGTGTTTGTTGGCCCTGCTTCTGACTTCAGGATTTACACTGATGTCTGTGTAAAAAAAGTGCATGATTTGAGTAGGCAGGCAGGCTGCTAGGTCCCAGTTGTTCTCTCACTCGAATCTTGGGCCACTGACGTGGCTGCAGAGTTTTGGTGCAGCGCTGATGCAAGCTGGCATGCAGCATCAGATTTAGACTGTGTTAGAGAGTGTCAAACTGAGGAAAGGAGAGGCACCGAATTGAGTTTGTAGTAGAGAGAAGAATACAGGACTGCTGATGAGTGAAAGACTGCTTAGAAATATGCCAAGATATCTGAAATCTGAGCGAGACCTTCAGGCCAGCCTGAGGGATTGTGGCTGGAATTGAACTCTGAGAGGTGTGGGCAGGAGCTGGTGACAGCTGCAGGGCTGCCATCTGCACGTAGGAATTCCAGCCTAGGGCAGGAGGTGTTGTCCAGCCTGAGGCTTTCAGCCACTTGTGCAAATACAGATTGTGTGTGTATGTTCCTAATGATCTCTCTTACATGATGGGCAGCTATCACTTATCCAGGCAGAGCTGGAATCCCAGTGGGAAGCCAAATGTGAACGTACGCTGGCCTCAGCCAAGGAGCAGCATGTTAGACAGTACCAGGAGGTGTGTGAGCAGAGAGATTCCCTGCAGCAGCAGGTGTCCCAGCTGGAGGAGAAGGTAAAGGGCTGTTCTTTATTGCTAAAATGTGATGCCAGTAGCTGTAATCAACAGTCCTCTCCCACCTAATTGTGGCTTGACTCTTTAATTTCTTGACTGTTATGGAATTTGGTCTTGTCCGCGGGATGTGTCTGTACTGCAATCTCTTACGTTGGGTTGGTGGGCTCGTGAATTTACTACTGCAGTTTTGGATGAGGGAGAGCCAAGATGATGTCAGTGTTGGACTAAAGCAACAGCTACAATCTCATCTGCTTATCTGAGTGACTGGTTTTTGAGCAGAAACTGTTTTGAAGTGGGTGACACTGAAAGGGACTGTAAACTGATGGGCTCTAGTTCTTGTCTTTCAGCTTCAGGCTCTAAAACACTCAAAAAAAGCAGAGGAGCAAAAATTGTCTGAGTTTCAGCAACGTTTGGAGCAACTAGAGCCTATCCAAGAGAAGGTAAAGGGAATAACCCAGCAGCTGAATATGAACTGGAACGCCGTAATCGCTAACCTCAGGCTACCTATGTTCAGAATAACAAGAACATGAATTCCAGAATATGAGAAGGAAGGAATAACTTCACATTGCTTCCAGCAAACCAGAACAGGTCCAGCAATGAGACCCAGCCCTCATTTCACTGGGATCTCAGTAATGCTATGCCCATTCTTGGTGTTACTTGAACCTGAAGAGCTAATGACATGGTTGTGGATCTCCAAGGTTTTGGCTTGGTTGAATATCTTTATTTTGGTGCTGTTGCTTTCAGCCAAGTCTTCTGCAACTCTCCATCAAAGTCCTGCTTAAAACTCCACTCAGCAGTTTACCCCTCAGTAAAAAAATGTTTACAGATAACCCATGCATTGCAAGGTTCATTGTGGTGGTGTCTGTGGAGCTGTTCTAACTTTCGGTTTCCCTTTGGCAGTATTCAGCCTTGCAGTCTGATACTGTGGTGCTGAAGGCTCGCTATGAAGAACGCATCCGAGAGCTGGAGAAGGGTCAGGACGAGTCTTTACCTGCAGACTTCACAGAAGAAGTAAGCGTGATGTCTCCTTACTAAGCAAATCTATTTACCTTGAATTATTTCTCTTTGAGTAGAGATAAGAAGGAAGAAACATCATGTTCTCCACAGAAGCACTGTGTTTCTAGTAGCAACGTCTATAGAGGAAGAAAGAATGTGATGTTCCTGGTGCCCACTCTGTTGCTTGGTTTGTTTGGGGTTTTTTGGGGTTTTTTAAGTTAGAACTTAAAGTTTGAGGTTTAGATTTAAAAAATGAAAGAATAATAAGAAATAAGTGTCAGTCTGCCTTGTGTTTGTGCAACTTGCCTCAGTTTTGGAGGGATTTGGTGTACATACAATGGTTCTGAATTCAGATGGCACAATGATGTATTCTCTTTTGTTACAGGAATTTCTGATTTGACAAGTGAATTCTTTGAAAACCACATGTGTGTGTTTGCATTTCTTGTTCCTTCACCTGGAGAAGTATCTGATGTTGAGTCCAGTGCTTCACATGTTAATGAATTGTATCTTTGTTTCCTGTCTTCTTCTTTTCCAGGTAAAGAAGATAATGAACGGTGTATTTCAATCTCTTCGGGGTGAATTTGAGCTGGAAGAGACATACAGTGGCAGGACAGTTCTGGGTGTTGTCATGAACACTATTAAGGTATGACAGTGATAAGAGATACAAGGTGATCAATGTGAGAGAACAAGTCTTGGTCAAAACCCACAAATTTATGTTGTGAGTCTGAAATAACTGTGAAGCAGAAATTCGTTGTGGGTGGCAAAGGAACCCAGCAGTAGAAGAAGATACAAGAATCTGTGATGGCTTATGTTTAGGGTATAACCTACGTTCTCTCTACTCAATTTTTTTAGACTGTAACACTGCAGCTACTCAGCAGGCAGCAGGAGAAACCAGATCATGACAGTAAAACGGAGGAATCTGGAACAAAAGCAGCACGACAGGAGGGATCATCTGGAGCAAAGACTGACCACGAAGAGCCCCTGCAGCATAGCCCAGTGCAGAGCGTTGCATCCCCAGCTGATCCTGAGGAAGCAGCCAGAGGCTCTGTGGTGTCTGAGCAGGCAGGCGAGTCTGCTCCTCTGTCTGCCAGGCCCAGATCTCCTGAGGAAGAGCAGGCGACACAGACCAGTGGGGTGTTGGAAGAGAAGAAGGTTCAAGGGGAGCATCTCTCTTCCACAGTTGAATCCTGCCTGGATCCTGATAAGGGGCCTGTACTTGCAGGGCAGCCTGTTCCTGAGGTGGATGAGGAGTTTGTCCCAACTGAGCAAACACTGGGGAGCAGTCCCATCAGGAAAACTGGGACTGAACGCAGTCCTTCCAGAGTATCTTTGCAGGCAGAAGTTGCAGAACCTTCTATTCTAGAAGCCAAACCAGGAGAAGCAGATGTGGCAGTGCTGCCAGAAAAGCCAGCTGTGGAGCAGAAAGCAGAGGAGCCTGTGGGAGGTTTAGAGCCTGCTCCTTTAAATGGTGAGGAAGGGAACTGCACAGACCCATCAGATGGAGCTAGCTCCGAGAAGGACCCTGCTTCAGTATCCAATGCAGCAGAGCTGAGCTCAGCTGTCATCAGAGAAACCCCAGGACAGCAGGAACTCTGCTCCAGCCCCAGGGAGAAAGATTCCAGGTAAGGTGTGACTGCTGGGGAAGCCACAGTCCCACTTCCTTTCTGCTCAGCTCAGTCTGGTTCTGCCGCAGAGCTGGAGGCGGGTACAGATATGCTCCTACTGCACGGCAGCGCAGACTGTAGGGATGAGGCACCGGCACGGTCCAGGCAGAGTCCAGGCTGTCCAGGGCACGCTCTGCTGGGAGAGCAGCTGCAGAATGGGGTCGTGCCTGGGCAGGGGCAGTGGGGCTGTTATCCCTGGTGAATCGTTCCTAGCTGAGCGTGGAGGGGAGCATGCAGTTTTTCTAGGATCTGATATTGATGGCACTGGTGAATAGTACGTGCCTTAAAAGTTTGCCTCGGTGACAAAACTTTTCCATCGTTCAGAACTTGTAAAACCAAGATCCCATCTGTCTGCAAGCAAACTGTTAATTTTGTATCTTCTTCTAGCCTCTTTGAGGATGACAACTTCTTTGAAACAGCATCTCGTAAACCACTGAAGCCTCGAGTTCCCTCTGAAGAGGAGGATGAGGAGGAAGTGGTACGTATTTGTATCTTTCCACTCCTACTAAACTGATTCAGGTGTTAACATGTAGCTTGTCTCTGAAATCCTTCCCGTGGCAGTGGGCGACTGACTGGCTGCTGCTAGCCGAGCTCAGAGCTTCCCGTACGTTCTCTGTATAAATCAAGAGTATCTGGCTTTGTTTATTGTTGGGCTTGGAGTGGTTGCAAATAGTGATGACAAACTTCTGCTGGCATGGAGTAAGTGAGACTCGCCAGATTCATTGAAGGGTTTTTAGTGTCTGCACCTCTCCTGTCCCTTTTAGCCTGTAAGCATCTCACCTGGAATATTAAGACATCATGTGAGAAACACTAAAACTTCAGTCATGAGGCTTCTTGATGTCATCTCTTAAAGCTGGTGGAGATTTCAGAGCCAGAACTGTGTAGCAATTACTAAATACTGGGAAGCTGCTAAGACTGACAATTTCCCCTCTGGTTTGACTTCCAGAGCATGAAGGGGCGTCCCCCTCCAGCTCCGCTCTTTGGTGATGATGACGATGATGATCTGGACTGGCTGGGATGAAGAGCCAGCTGGTGAGCCTGTGAGCCCTTTCCTCTGGGCATGGCCTCTTCCTGCGCACTTAAGGAGCTGCATACGTGGGACAGTTGTGACCAACCAGGGACTTCCCAGGCTCTTGTACTGCTGACTGATGGGGCCTGAGAGCAAGTGGCTCTTTTTGCACTCGTGGGCACTCACACCCATCGCTCTGCCCTGACCAACACGCGCAGAGGTTGGGACGAGCTGAAGGAACCAACCGGTCTTACTGCACGTTTGTATTGCTGTCCTACTTCTGTGAACCGTTGATTCATTAATCTGAAACTTTATGCAAATAGGAACTTTGTAAAGTGCTTCAGAAGAACAAGTCTGGCAGGACCTTGCAGTAGGTAACCACTTTTTTACAAAAACAGACTAAAATTGCATCTTCTTCCCCAGTGAAGATCTCCTTGGAGTATTTCACTTAGTCCCCAAGGTGGCTCCCAGGGACTCTATACCATCTCATCACCTTGTATCAGCAATGCGCAGTGGGAGATTGGGCCGAGAGACCCCAGGCGGGTGTTTCCTGTGAGCCACCGGCTCGGCACAGGCAGCCTGGGGAATCCCCAGGGGCCGAGGGGGCTCAGGCCGGCACTGTTGGAGGTTCAGAGCCGCGGCACGCGTGGTGCTCGCTGCCCCACAGCCTGCGAGGCAGGGACACCCGATAGTGGTACTGAAAGGCAGGGCTCTGTTAGAGCAATGCTCCAAGCACAGATGTAGCATCCAGTCACTGCTGTTGTAAGGAGCCAAATCCCCAGCTGTGTTTTATGGAGGAGCCACAAGGCTCGCAGAGACCTGACAGAAATGATTCGCTGTGCAGCCAGCTCATCTCCTCTCTGTTTGCGAGATTTTTTTGTTGTTGTTGTTTTGTTTTTGCTGGGTTGTGTTTCACTGGCAGTGAAAGCGGCAATACAGATGTGCAATGTGCTGCTTGTCCAGGGAGAGAGTTACTGTAGGCAGCCAAGCCCATCTCCTGTGCCTTTTTTTCTCTGCTCTTGTTTTTAAAGTGTTGTTTAAAGATCTCAGCACAACACATGGTGATGGTGGGACGTAAGCTATAACCCAACCTCACCTGGGCTCTGCCAGGCAGCCAGGGGTTTGGGCTATAACTTTTCAGTCTAAGTGGACCAAGAGGGGAAAGCAGTGAGGACAGTCAGTTGGGCAAACACGTTGGATTTCTCATAGCACTTTTACTTCTACACTCATTGGCACCGGCTCAACTTAAGCCTATGAGCAGGTCTTTGTGTCTTGAAAACAAATAAACACCCCTTCACTTAAGGAAATGGAAGTGCTTAAAGTAATTCTACTACAGTTCAGTTTCTACAACTGCCTCTTATCACCTCTGAACTGAGTTTGACCTGTGCTTCTAAATGTGATTTCTTGGGAGGAAAAAAAGCGCTGGGCACCTGTTCTGGAGCGTGTCAGCGTGGGGGGGTCCCTGCGCCCCACGCTCTGTGTGGCAAATTGCCAAATGCAGCTAAAGTTGTGGAAGAGATCAAAGCCTGTGAAAGAGCCGGCCTGCTGCTGGGCAGGGGCCCTTCTCGCAGGGTAAACTTAGCTGGGCTTTCCTGGGGAGCCCCGCCAGAAGTCAAAGCACCGAATAGTTATTCAGTGCTGAATGTGACGGGGTGTGAAAGCTGGATTTTCTGGGGCTGGGCTGAGGATAGGTACCTGGATGTGGCCTCTGGACCCCCTGTCTGTGCCTGTGTCCTAATGGAGGTCGTTGCTAATACTAACAAATTCCTCTTCTCGTTTCCTGTTACAGATAGACAACCTGAGGGATTTGCATTTCACTTCTTGAAAAATAAAGTGCAATTAAACCTGTATTTTTTGCTTGCGTGGGCTTTACTTTAGTCTAGCCTGTCTCTATGCACTTGAAAACTGACTTAGCTCTGACTGAAATCGGGAATAATTTGATTTAGAAACTCTTGTGTTCTTGCTGTTAAACGCCTCTCCTGGGAAGGGAGCGAAGGTCCCTTTGTGCTGTGCCTGCAGCTCCTCAGGCCGTCACGTTGTGCTGTGGTGGTGGGAGAAGCTGACGTACTGAAGATAATCGTGATGCATGCAGGGGTCACCCCCCTGATTCTCCGTCAGGCTTTAAGGGAGAGGGACCTGGGGCATCTCACGAGGGTTTGCAGCAGCCTGGTCTCTCCTAAGCTGGCTCTGGCGGGGCAGGAGTGCCCCTGCGCGGCTACCGGCCCCTCGGCTGTGCCTGCCTGCTCCCGGCAGGGATTGGGGTGTGGGAGATGAGATTTGAAACTTGTCCCTCTAAAAGCAGGCCCAGCAGGTAACGCACCCCATTCCCCACGATGGCATCTCCCTAGACCTAGGCCCTGTAGCTCCCAGGGTTGTTGGGTTTTGGGTTTTTTTTCTGGCTCAGTCTTGGGATCTGAAATAAACCATGTTTGTCCTCTGTGCCCATAGGCACACCGTCCTTGGGTGCAGGAAGGGTGAAGGTGAGAAAGCTCTGGGCTTTCTGGGGGGAAAGCGGGCTTGGGGGGTGATGGATGTCTGTCCCCCCTGAGGAGGGGGCAGACACGGTCATGGGGGGCTGCAAAGGGGCTGTTTCTGCTGCTGGGTGCTGATACGTGGCCAGGAGGGAGGGACCCCATGGAGAGAGGGACCTTGCTGAGGATGGGCCTGAGAGGGTGTTGCTGGGGGGAGTTGGGGTTCAACACCAGGGGCTGGGGGAAGGAGAGGATCCCCTTCTCGGTGCCTGGGCCCTGGCTGTCACAGCCAAAAACGTGCCCTGCCTGCTGGGGGTCTCTGTGCAAAGCTCGCCCTGCCCCAGATGCACAGAAAAACAACCGGAGACGGTGCTGGGCCCACGGCTGCCTTTAATGCGGGGCTGGGTCCTTCCCAACCGGCCTCGTCCCTCTGCGTGCAGCGCACCGAGCTCTCTTCTCAGGGCGAAAAGGTTTTCTCATTGCTTTTCACCAGTTCCACCCACAGAAAAGCACGGTGGGACCCTTCCCGTCCCTTTTCACCTCGTCCTTGCTGCCTGACGAGATGGACTGAAGCGCAGGCGGGGGAATTTTCCAGCCGCAGGGCCTGTGGCAGCGGGGAGCGTGCACGGGCCCCCGCCGAGACTCCTGCCGAGGTGCTGTGGGCTGCTGTGCCGTGGGGTCTGCAGGTGCCGGGATCGTTGGGAACACACGGGGTGAGCACAGCCAGACCCCGGGGGGTGAAGGAAAGCGCTGCAATAAGTTAATTTTTAGTCTGATGCCCCAGGGCTCATGTGCGGGGCAGCCAAGCGTCCTGTGGCCTCCGTGTGCCTGGGCTGGATTCTGGGAGGTGCTGAGCCCCCAGCCCCGTCC